TTTTGCATACGAAGAATTCGTTCTATTTTTGTTGATCCTCTGCCTAGTCACACATGCTACTAAATTGGTCACTGGCAGGCATTACGTGCATTAGAAAATAACCTGAGAACACTTTTACAGGCCATGTGCGCTGTTTGACACCCGGGGCGGCGGTATGGTGAGTAATGGCCTGCAACTCTGAGAGCTAGGCGGCAAAAAGATTCAGAGTGCAAATGCAAAGCACAATTTTGCGCCCGCTTTGGCCTTTTAAGTGATATTTGCTCGCCCCCCCCCCCGATATCCTTCGCTGAAAATAAATGGCTGGCCTGGCTTTGCATGGACAATGCAGACCAAAAGGAGAATCTGGCGTTGGTCTGTTGCCAGGATAACAGAAGTGGCAGGCCATTTGGACGTGGCCGGGCTGTTTTGGCGCTGTCAATGGTACAGCGGGTTTAAGCTCCGGCAGTTTGGGCAGGGCCAAACATTGACCTTTAATCTCCATCTGAGGAGCGAAGTGTTCTGGACGACCACTGCCAAACTCTGCCTCCCCACAGACATCTGTACCTTCCCTCCTGGCATCCAAGACTTTCTATCATTTTGTTTAGATAGTCATAACCTCTTTGTCTTTCCTCCATTATCAATTTGTCTCACTTTCCACCGTTCCTTACATTATATATCATTTGTGATTTAGAGGGAAGTTTAACTGCTCAGACCTGGACAGGATTTCAGGCTCCTCTACTTCAACTCCAGCCAGGTTGTAGGTGTGATGGTTAGAACTGGCTCTCTGAGGGACCCAGCTGACTATATGCATTCAATTGTGCTGATTGGACTTGTACTTTTGTCCCGAGCTTTGTTTTCAATGTGCTGACAGCCCTTTGAAGTGTAGAGATGTGACGAAGCATGAAGCAGAGGACGGGTGGGGATAAAGTCCTGCAACCTGGGTTCTCTATACGCCCCATGGAGGAAGCATGATCTCAGCAAAGGATGCCAGATTATTTCTAGGTACCGGAAATGACACACAAGCAGAGTTCAGCCTTTGGGAGATTGACCGTCGACATATGATCAGAGGGATGGTTGATTGGACCTGGAACGGCCTAAAGCGCTCTCAAGTATTGTTTCCATGCTGTGGAGCTCGAACTAACATCTTGCAAAAACCAATCAATCTTTGTTTTTTTTATTTGTTATACCCCTCACCAAATGATGGAGCTATACTGAAACTGCCACTGCTGAGTTATGTTTTAAAGATCACTCAGTCGTTCTGAGTAATTTTAATTGTATGTATGTCAGGTGACATGGGTCATGTTGTCAATAGAGACAACCATTGCGATACTTTCCCTGCTCCTTTGATCGGGGGAAAGTTTTCAATGCGATAAGGCCCTGGTAGTCAGGACTGAACAGTACGGGGGCAGCGAGCTGATGATGTAACAGTCCTAGGTTGGCTGTGAACAACGGGCCCTAAACATTTCTCCTTTTGTTTGGCACCTAAATGGGCTTATTCCATCTTCCCGCCCACTGTCTGTCTCGACTTCCTCCCCTCAGAGAAAAAGGTGTTTACGCTAGAGCAGGAGTGATCGCTGTGATTGTTACTTTTTGCTGTTGCACCTTTCATGGTTTTCTTCGTCTGTCTGCACTCACGCTTTAATCAGATGTTGTTTATCTCTCTGTGTATCTCAGACATTGTGTTAATTTGCTGATTCTGGCTTCAATTTGACTTTCTGTTGCTGTTCTGTGCCTGTCCTCCACTCTGGGATGGAGAGTTTGAGGGTAAATCGAGCCAAGATTGAATTAGGCGACCCACTCGTCTGCTGCTTTTCTTCCCACCGCCGTGCCATCATTTGTTCTGTACAAGAAAGAAAAAAGCTCCCACGTGTTGTCACAGTTCTCTTCTCCCAGAAGTTTGGTGCCCCTCTGAAGGTATCCCTGAATGATATATGAAGGAGTTCAATAACCTATTGGGTGCCTGGGCGAAAGTGATGGGGGGAAATTGAGTCCAAAGCCAGCGTTCATTTCCTGTATCCGAACAATTTAATTTCCAGCGGAAAGTTTCTGTGTGGTTCGGGTACAATATGGAAGTGCGGTCTCCCAACATGCAAAGTCATGGACAGACTGATAAATGCGTCTCAGCAGACCATGGGGCCTCGTCTTAAGTAAAGGGGGTAATTTCCTCGTCTTGCTTTGCCCTTCACCCCCTTTGCCTTTGTGACTAGCAATTGGATGCATATCACGTTTAATGCATTTCACTGTCTCTGTTTTACTGTGTGTTTTTACAACAAAGGGATTTCTGAGAGACTTTCTTTGTCCGATGTGTAGGTGGAGGCGTGACAGGGGGAAATGCTGTTTGGCATTTAAAGTGGTCACTTCCTGTGCGCAGGAAGCTTTGGACGCCCCGAGCCTCTCCGGTTTCTCCAAGACTGTTTGTTTGTTTCGGCCGTCCGGCGCAACATCATGCAGGTTCTTCAGGTTCTCTGGGCCGGGCCAGCGCTAGCCACAACAGAGCCTCGTGGTCCACTACAAGACAATACCCGCTCGGCTACACACAGCCGCCGCATGAGAGAGTGCAGAAGAGTCCGGCCAACACAAACCGATGAAAGCCAGACCAGCCCTGAGTGAAACAAATCGGTCCACCCTTTAGCGGTGAAGGCTTGGCGCGATCGGTTCCCTTTCTTCTTCTTCTTCTTCCCCCCTCTCTCATTTTGTCCCCCACTGTTTGTGCTAGGAGTGGTTTATGATGTCACAGACCTATACGTATGTGTCTATACATCTGGCCATGGATTAAGTTCTCCTTTTCCACTTTTTACAGTGTCCACACAGTGATTTCAACACCACTGTGGTAACTGTTTGGCTCATTTCCCTTCATCTCCTTCTTGTCTGTCTAGCCATACATTCTTACGTTTAATTTCAGCTTTGCAGAGTCTTTGTTTAGCACTTGGCTCCTGTACTGCTCGTTTTCTGTTGTTGGTCAGGTTCACAGGGTTCGACCTGACATAGTGACCCCCAGAAGGTAAGCACAGTGGTAGCCTGTCTTTTTTTATGTCGATCATTTCTGGGTTTCCCATTCATCTGCAAGTTTTTAGGTGGGTTTTCCCAGGATGAATAAGGAGGAATGTTGTCAGAAGGAATAAAGAATTGTATCATTGACCGTGTAGAAAGGAGGGGAGACTTACCACTTGGGGGAAAAAAATGCTTTGATACTCTCACTCTCTCCTTCCCTCCCTTCATCCTCTCCTGCCCGTATCTCCCCGCTGCCGATAGTAATGACATTGCCATATCTACCTGCACACACACATGCACAGTCGCACTTTCACCGCCATTCCTACACTCCTCACCTCATTTCTCTTTAAAAATAATTTCTTTATTTATATTCTGTGTGTGCATGATGTTCTATTGCAGGCATGTGCACAGACATTTTGGGGGGCAGGTGCTCAAACCAAAACAAAAGGGCACCCATCTCCCAAATGATTTATGAAATTAATAGCCCACTGAGCGATGGTGGGGATACCATTTCGATTCATCCCGTGCTCAAAGATCCCCAACAAACCCTTTATGAACCCCAAATGGAAAGCAGAGGGTTGAGAGTGACACGTGGCACATGACTGGCCGTGGGGTCAGAGGCGTCTCCCCAGCCAAGTGCTCGGAGCTGCACACAGTCACTGTACCCAGTCAGAGAGCGTGCCAGTTCAGTCAGTTAGCCATTGTTTTCAATCAATCATCTTCAGCTACCAAATGTAGATATTTATTTTCTCCTCCTCCTTTCGCTCTTCCACTGCGTCCCTAGATGAAAGACGCTCTGAGAGGTAGCCAGGTGTGAATCTGTTTTGGAATTTGTTCACACAGATCAGTAGCATTTCAAAGGGTTCCGACCACTGTGCGGGGGTGTTTTACTGGGTTTGAATTTTGGGGTGGGGGGCTTTTAATAGTGCATTGATAAAAGGGTCTTTGATGGAAAACCAACCCAGCTTCACTGCACTCTATATGGACCTGACCGTTTTAAAGTATCCCCTGGTTTTGTGGACCACAGCCACCCTGCAGACCAGAACAGAGCAGCTGGCCCTTATCTGCCACTGCTCTCCATTAGTGGGGCTTCAGGACTCTGTTGTGCTTGGAAGGGGCCCCGGCTCACTCGCTGCTTTTGTGCTGCAACAGTTGACTGCTGTACTTGCTGATCAGCCCTCACTTCCTCTCTCCCATTTTTACAAAGAACTTGTAGTAATCTGACTTTTTTTTCTACATAATGTTTATTGATTTAAATTTAGTTCCTTTATTAGCTCTTTCCTATTCCATCCAGCTTAAAGCAAAAAAAAGATCAAAAAATAATTTATTTGGGGTCGTCGTGGCGCAGGGGTAGAGAGGGTGCAGGGGTAGAGAGGGTGTGCTGGGAACCGCAAGGTTGGTGGTTTGAGCCCCAGCTGACCCTTGTTGAAGTGTCCCTGAGCAAGACACCTAACCCCTAATTGCTCCCCAGGCAAAATGTAAAAAAACAATGGGTTAAAAATGCAATGTAAATCGCTTTGAATAAAAGCGTCAGCTAAATGACCTGAAATGTAAATTTGGGTTTTTCTTACACTTTCAGTTGGATATTTATTCTTCCTTTGTGTATTGGACAAACAAATCAAAAATATCTATGAATGAAAATGACGTGTGTGGTGATCCTATAAAAGTACATGTTTATAAACTAATTTGCTGTCCTCTTGATGGTGTATAGGAATTTTTCTGCACTTATACAGCAGTTATGCTCTGCTATTTATTATCCAACTACAGATGTACGCGCATCTGTTTCTAGTGGGGTTTTTCCCAACGTGTGACAGTGCATGCATGCCTGCCTTAATTCCTCTCACTGCCATGCTGACTTTCTGCCCCCCTCCCCCCATCTGCAGGTCTGTATGACCTGCTGGCGGCTCTGCCCTCCCAGCTGCAGCCCCATGTCAGCCGCAGTGAGGACAACACCTTCCTCCAGAACATGTTTGGGGAGAGAAGCCTACAGACACTGGTCAAGGTAAAACCTTTCTTTTGGAGTCATGTGACGTCTCGGTGGTTCAGCTGAGAGCTTTTTCACGGTGTCATATATTGTGATTTATAGCAACAATTAGATAAGAACAAATAATTCCATTAAAAAAAACCTCAATGACATTGTCCGTTAATTTGAACACAACAGCTTCTCCACAAGGTCAGAGAATTAGTTCCAATGAAAACGGTTGGTGGCTGGTTGTCTCGCTGTATTAATAATATGTTATATCAAAAATATAAAAGTAATTATATTTTTTAATGCTATTAATTGCATGATTTTCTGATTAATTGGGATTACCATTGTTATGCGCAAAATGCAATAATTAAAAAATAAGGTGCTTTTTCACAGCAGTATTATCTTAACACGGTTGCACCTAAAATATTTTTTAGTAAATCTCAACTTTAGCATCAAAACAAATTAAATATAAAACCACTGCAATTTGACACAGATGTTAACATTTTATCTAGATTGCTATATAAAAACAAGATCACGACCCTCCACGATTGTAACATTCTAACTGGCAAGTTAACATTTATAAATCAGTTTTTATTTTTTTTAGTAAGCAGGTACCTGTGACGCATTAACGTTCCCAGCTTTAAAAAGAATACTAGGGGTGTCAAAGTTATCGCGTTAATCAAGGAGATTATTTTGGCATGAAAAATTCACTCTGTACGATCGTGCTTCATTCAGCCTCCTTTTGGGCAGTTTCATTCACACATTGCTCAGTTTATTGTCATTCCAACAGCCTACCCACCCAGATCTTCTAACTCCCCCTCTCCCAGTACGAATGGGCTTGTGGTCCGTTTACTGCCCGTTAAATCGGATAGCTGCAGAGCTTGTTGAGAAGACGAGCACGCTTTATATCTTTATACGCTTGTAGACAGACGGAGGTAATGAAAGTAACACATTCGATCTGTCAGCTTTAACCTCATTCTCACTTGGGATCTTCCAATCGGCAGCCAAACTCTGTCTTCCTCTGCTCCCGCTATTGAGAAGGGAACAGGAGGGCTTTTGTGCTTTTCAACCCAGCGTGTTTGTCAGCCCCTATTCATCCAGCAAATATGTGTTACCACTGCTTTGCCTTCATCTCTAGTTCCCTGATCTAGCTGAGCGTGCTCTTGTCAATTTACAAAGAAAACCTCTCTAATTGTCAGAGCTACATGTGCCTGTGTCCGTTGTATATGGTCCCCATTACAAGCGAATGCGCTGGTTTCCCCTTTTGGTGGTCTCTTTCATTATGTCACAGAGACGATTGACAGAGAAAAATTGACATAATTTTCATCCCCTCCTTTTTTGAAGAAATATTTTTCTGTGTAAGTCTGTTTGTTCAGGATCCAGGGTGGTAATGTGCCTATGTGCGCGTGTAAAAGTGGCTGAATTATGGCGTACCTCAGACTGCTTCAGAAAACCCTGATGTCGGGTCTTGAGGAAACCAGACGGGTTTCATTTGATGCTTGGATTGTTATGGATGGCCAACGATTAAGGCCTCTCGAACATGGATAATGATGGGCAGGGCCTACCCATGTTCAGGCTCTCATTCTCGGCGGGCCCCAAAGAAAACACTACGCAGTGTGGGCCAGATAGAGTGATGCTAATGAAGGTGGCATTATGTTTCTCTGCTATTAGCCCTCTAACCGCCCTCATTACACCTGGTTAAACTGTAAGCAATGTGTCAATGCTGTTGAAGCCAGAGTGCCGTGTCCTCGGAGGCCCTCTAACTGGAGGACAGAAAGTTTGGCACCAATCTTCAGAAGCAATTGTCCTGCCATCGCAAACAAAGAGTATCATCTCGCTAATCCTGATTATACACAGAAATGATTTTTTAAAAAGATGCAAGGCGTACAGTTGTAGTAAGATGGACCACAATATCAACAAACCGATTCAGTGGAATCATGGAAATGAGGCAAGAGGGAGATTTATGTGGAGGATAAACTCTAATTTTACCAAGCAGTCTTTGATATCTGAGTAGCGGTTTCAAGCTGTGGTCTTCTTTGCATAGCGTTTTTTGGATCATATGAGTTAAAGCATTAAGAAGAGCCAGATGATCTGCAATATCAACCATGCCACCGGCAAAAGGCGTTGAAGTAATGGAAGCAGTTTCTCCATCTTGTTTGTATTGTTGTTGAAACTGCTTAAAGAAAGCAAGACCAGACAAATTGAGCTTAGTGATGGAGCTGAAATGTCAGGTGTGTGTTGTTTATGCATGAAAGAAGGGTTTAATGTCCAATTATTCGCTCCCTAAAAGCCCTTCCAAAGTCTTAATCCCACTTTGTTCAAGTGCCAGCTGGACGGTGAGTGGCTCTCACTTTGGGGCCCTGCACTTCAGTAAGTATTGGTTAACGTCCCAGCTATTGTGATCCATTTCACTATTGCTGCCATGGCAGAATGAAACATTCTTCAAACATCAAAGGACCACAATATTTCTTTTTCTTTCTTTTTTTACCTCTTCTGTTTCATTCAATGGGGAGAAACGGAGCTGCTTTTAGTGTCTCTCATCGTTAACGCGGAGGCATACTTGGAAACCGCCCTGGACCAGACGAGCAGAACTACGTGTTTCCTCTGCTTTCTACGTGGTACGCAGACGGTAACCAGCTTGTCATCCCATGAGCCAAACGGACGGACAGGCAGGCATTGAAAAACACAGAAATACAGAACAACCGTCTCGCCTTACATCCAAGACAAGCTTCAGGTGAACATGGCTAACGTCAGTGGCACGCCATTAATAAAACCTTAATTGTCCCCTTCCTCTAAATCCCCACCGCCAAATCTCCACAGGTTCCGCTTTTTTTCCCTCTTTCCACGAGGCTGTGATGGGGATACTTTGGGAAATGGCTAAACAGCAAAGCGAAAAACCCACACTCATCATGTTAATCTGACAGACTCGGCAACCCTGGTTGCTCGAATGGAACCGCTCAAGCATCACCTGGGTAATTAGGAAGCATCAGTTACTGTTCAGCCTGTCTGGGAGAGAGGGAAAGGACCCGAGGAAGAGGTGTCAAAGATGGAAAGAGACACGAAAGAAAGAATACCTACATGAAGACTTAACCCGACTCAAGTTCTGTTTCCCCTCTCTTGCCCTCGTCAGCCTCTCACGTCCCTCCGCACTCCCAGTCCTATTATGTCAGAGATGAAACCAGTATTTTCTAATATCATCTTTCAGCGGGGAGCGTGGCTCACAAGTTTGCCTCATTTAGCAGACTCTTCATCGGCGGGCGGGCGGGGGGCGAGAGCTGAAATAAGATGCTGGCGCGTAAAGCTATCATCGCTAAAACGACGCAGACAGCCCCCCCCCTCCCCCCTTTCAAATTGAAAGGAGTTACTCAAGTGGGCTTTCTGTTAATTCCACCACTCTTACTGTTCCGCTTCCAAGTTCCAACTCCACGAAAAAACACAGGAAATATAATGCAATACTCAATTTCCACCTGCCTCAGGTGGGACTCACTTTAAAGACCAAGTTTCTGTCAGCAGGCCTTTAGGCAGGCCACAAGATCCCTCATTTTGTGGTCAAGTCAGTTTTCCTTTAAATGCTTCTCCTGTTAGTTGCTAATAGGCTTGGCACTTGCAACATTGTTACACAGTATCATTGATGTGGGCTTGCCAGTTTGTTCTCTAGTGCTGCAGGCCTCTAATGACATGTAAAGGTGCTGCAACGCTTGTACTGAACTGGAAAGTTTCAGCTATTTTTGGTAAATGAGCTAATTTTCAGACAAACTGGATTGTAGTGCCAGACTTGGTATCCCATGAATAACTGGATCGCGCTGCAGGTAGCCCTCAAGTTTCATGACTCACCCAGTAATGTCCGTTAGCCCCGCTCCTTGACAGCCACAGATTTGCCCTTAGAGCACCTATCTTATCCTTTCCACATCTCAAAACATGCCATGCTCCAGGTACCGACTACCGAGGAAGATCACAGAAAGGAAACCGCTCACCCTGCTGGAACAGCTCTGAGTCATTTAAGCCCCACACCCAGTGTGCAGCTCTGAAACCTGGACAATGGTCTGCTTTAGGACTGTAAACCTATACCACCTCAGAGATCCAGTCGTTCTGTCTGTGGTCAGCACGTACTGCTCGCTGGTCACCTCTGATGTCTGTATTTATTATTTTTGGGGAAAAGGATCCCTCACAGGGAATAAAGCAAATACCAGCAGGCTGCTTTGGGGAAGGGAGACTCCAGCCCTAAAAAGAGATAACCTTCCTATCAACAAAGCCTCTCCGTTAACTCAGAGTAGATTTATTTATACTGTATTTGGTTCTGAAGTAAATTATAAGTAGATAATTATAAATGAAAGAACATTATGTGGATTCTGGTTACAATGCTTAAACTTGTTGCCATTTGTTTCTGAAAAATATTGTTTCGGATACAAGGCGGGTTGTTATTTACAGTGTAAAAACCTCAGTTGAATCCAAAATAAATTCCCCTTTTATACTCCATGCTTAGGCTACCCTCCAAATATTTTCCTTGGAGTTTAATGATCACCTGCAGCATTAAGTCAATCATGCTCAATGTCTACAAACAAGCTGCTCTTAACCGAGCCAGAGAAGCTCGATGGACAGGCGATGGATGGAGCCAAGGGAGAAGTTGTGATGGGGACAGGGGGAAGCGGGTGGAGAACTCCTTAGTACAGAACACAGGGTACAGCCAGGCCTGTTGAGTACGGAATAACCTTTTAAAGTCACTGCTTTCAACCATTTCTGAAGCACTAGTGGGACACTGAGAATGTGGAAAGGCCTGCATATTCACCAGCAACCACTTCCGTGGGTCAGATGTCTGATTTGGTAATCAAGGGACATCTCTGACGCAATCCCACAACCGTTTTTCCAGGTCACATTTGTTAACCCTGATTTTTTTTTCCTTTTTCTATTCCTTAGCCAAAAGGACTGAAAGTGAAACCAGAAGGTCTACACGACACAAAGCCAATCTCAATCGGAGGAGAATAGAGTGATACACAAAATATGGAAAATGAGATTCATACTATCATAAAGTGTATTTGTGCCTCCCACATGGCCTGAGAACTGCCTGAACACATCACATGCTCACATGGGGCTTCACAGGTAGTCTTCACAAAGCAATATGTGAGTCAAATGGGTCCAATCTACTCCTGGCTTTACGGCCCTTAATAATTTAGAATCCGGTTTTCCACCCAATAACGGCCATATGGATTTATCACATGGATGAGTGCTGGATTGACAGGTGCCACCTCCCCAATTATCTTTTTGTACTGTCCAAGGTGTTGGGCTGCGACACAACAGAAAACCTGCAGAGGATTGCAGCCGTGTCTCAACAATGTACTGGTATGTACAAAGTGTGACTGCGTCCTGCTCTGTCCCCGCCTGACCGATTACCTGGTGTCTGCGGATGCGGTGTCCCGGGCCCCTCTGCTCCCTTCTCCAGGAGCGCGAGGAGGAAATGTATCCCCGTCTAAGTGATGTGGCTGTCATGGCTGTTGGCCAGGTGCTCTGCTCTCTCTCTCTTTCACGCTCCCTCTCGTTCGTACGTTGGATCCACTGCGAGTTCTTAATTAACTGTCACGTTCTCCAGGCCTTTTCCATTAACAAATCAGAGTGGGATCAGGCACAGGACTCCTCTGTATGGGGTCTTGGTCAAGGCAAGCTGCTTTTTTTAATCAGTTTTAATTCTCATAAAATCCTTGACATGCACAAAATATAATTTTTTCCCTCATTAAAAAAAAAAAACGTACCTCATGCGGGAACAAGCCACGTTACTCTGCAAACGCACCTAACTTTAAACAAATGTGTAAATGAGCATGCATACATGAATTAACCAGGGTTTTTTGTAAATGAGTGAGAAAATTTCCAATATTCCTACTAATCGTGTTTTCATGGCCGATGAAAAATATGTTGCAATTATATTCAACTTTTCGTGCAGAGATATTATTTTTGCTCATACTCAGAACCTGTTGCTATCCAGGTTTTTCAATGATGTTACTAAAGAGATGTTTCTTTTTCCAGTCAATCAGTTGTTTTTTTACAAAAAAAAATCAATAAAAACCTAGCGCGGAAGAATATCCAAGTGTGCTGTATTAGCGTCAAAAGAATTCTCCTAAAACCTGCTTGATAATGGCATATCTAGGACCTATATGGAATATTGGAATGGAAAAAACCTGTTAACACAAACCATATACATTTTCAGAATATTTGGAAATTTAAGAGAATATTAGTGTGTTTGTATTTAGCAAACACTTTTTTATCCAAAGCGTCAACAACCACGTAAGATTATTATTCATTTGGAAAGCTTGACCTCTGGTGAAAGATTGTCCAAAGTGGTACCCATAGTGTAAACTGAGTTACCACTAATGGCAATGCCGTGTGGATGCAGCCCTTTTCTAATATCTGCTGGGTTCAGAACTATTTAGGTCTGTTGGAACCTGCTTGCTTCACCCTAAGCAGACTGATGGAGAACTGTGGTGTTGTATCTTGGTATGTTAACGCACTGCAGCGCAATGTCCAGGACCCGATGCCATCTCGCCGGGTCCAAAGCCAGCTCTGTAAACTGAGCCTAAGCTTCTGCTTCTCAAGTAAGCACATTATTTCAAAGTTCTTCTAGTTGCAACCCTGCTCGTCTGTCTGTGATGCCCCCTCATCCTCCTCGTCCTCATCCATCTGCCAGGCTGCGGTGCAACAAGTTGTTCTGGATCAAACTAAGTGATGGGCCCCTGGTGGATCAACTCGGGCCCGTTACTGGATCCGCTCCGGCAGGTTGATACAGGAACGGGAGAAGGATCATCAGGCCCATCCGGTCTGGCTTGGAGTTTTCCGAGCAGAGGCCTTGAGCTTGGGACTCTGAGGCAGAAACACTATCCAACCCTGTGATCTCCAGACCTGCATGCTCTCTCCTTCCTCCTGCGCCAGACGTCTCTCGCTGCGGCAGGTCTGGATTAGCGCTTGCAAGGCTTTTCTTTGTATCCATCGTACCTCAACTCTGACATTGGAGGCTCGGGGCAGTCATTGTCTGTCTTAAAGTGTGCATTTGATCGGGGAGATCAACACTGAGTTGTAAAGGATTCATGAGAGGTCTCGAAGGTATCTGGCCCTTAACCTTCATAGTGATCCTTTGCAGTAGTTGGAGCTCTCGTCTGAGGGAGATGAAGATGTATATAATGTTTTGTTTGCAGTCTGTCTTCATTGAAATTTCTGCGTATCGTTTTCTTACCCGTGTTAGTGTTTTTCCTTATTTTCCCTCTCCTGTGTGTATTTCAAGGCCGCAGGGTATTTCTGGAGGCAAGCACAACGTAGTCGAAGGCCTTCGGAGGAGACCGGACACGCACTACTCCTTTTGAAGCAGTAAAAAAAAAAAGCTGCCTGTGATACCGCATGTTCATTTATATTTACTCACCCTCCACTTCAGCAAGTTCTACCCTCTTAATCTTCAGCATTTTGTTCCAAGCACACACTTTTTTGTGTTTTGCATAGACGTAGACGTATTTGTCACCTGGAAAAGCTTGAAAATCCCAGTCTTTGATTAGTCTGTGTGTCCAGAAGACACTGGTTTGAGCAAAGCCCTCCTTGGCTGACGCACACTGTCTCTCAATGTGCTTTGTATTTTTAAGGCCAGGCCAGCTCTTCCATTTGGCAGGAGCCCCGCTCCCTCACCAAGGGGACAGGGAACGCGCCATGCACAAAGCGGAGTAATGACTTTAAAACACATCCCTGCGTCATGGCCAGGCCCTTGGAACGTGTCCTGAACTGTAAATAAAAAGCATTTCAATCCTGCGTTTTGCTAAGCGAGCGGAGCAGAAATTCCACAGTTACTAAGCAAAGCCGAGGTGGCGGAGCAGCAACTACCTAAGCAGATGTCACCCGGACTGTGGTATGTTGGAGCGCCCGAGACACTGGCAATCTCTCTCGTTTATTTCATCTGTTATACAGAGATGATCAGGACAGATGAAGTAACCGGAGCTGCCTGCCGGGCTTTCATACAACTCTTTTTCTGCAGGAGGACCGGCCGAGGAGTCGGGAGCGCCGGGGGTGGAGTGAGACAGAAAGTTGAATATGACGTGGCTTTGTGAAATAAAACTCATGAGGATGAATTTTCCCGGGAAATATCCCCAGAGTAGCTCTTTTCGGTTTAAGGGCACAAAGCATGGAGCACACACAAACTGGAAGAGTGCGGAGCTGACTCAGGCCTTACGACATCTGAGCTTTTTACGTATGTCTCCACGTATGCCTCCACCAGGCATCTTCAGCAGATTATCTACACATGCACCTTATCGTTGGCCGAGTGATGTTCTGTTCGCAGGGATTTGAACCTTTCAAGCAGACCTCGACACATCGGCCGTTCGGTCGAGATTTATCACGGGAGGCTGCGTGGACAAGTCGAGCGGAGAGCTGAAGTGATGGCCATCAGTTGAGCTGTAGTTCTGGGTGGAGGTTTCAGAGCGGTGCCGTGCTTATTCTGGAGACATTTAACACTTAGTTATGTCGCTTTTTTTCTCACCAGAAAGCCATACAAGGGCCATTGCAATGGTGGCATTAGTGTTGCGTTGTAGATGACATCATGGACTGGTGGATATCAAAGACAGATGACAGAAAAAAAATGAAACAAATGAACTTATCTGAACACGCTTTTCTTCGAATAAGACATTTAAACTGCGACGGTTGATCGATAATTTAAACAGTTGATAATCTGGTCCTTGCTAATTAAATATAAATATATTCTGTCTTTATTGAAGACAAATCAGGACATTTGGAACCATAGGAGCTTGGGGAAACACTGATCCACATTTTTCAACATTTAACTAGTCCCTTGATTGATTAAATAACTAACGCATCAACGATTGTGTCGTTATCTCATTAGACTGACCAGAATCATATCCATCTGACAGTATCCATGGAGTTGCTACCGAAGAGTGACATTGACAGTGTAGTTAGCGGGAAATGTCATGTCTGACAATCTCAAAACAGATGTTTTAATTGCACACAGCATCTGCAGCTGCTCACAATGTGACGGCACACAAACTGGTTTTCTTTCTTCTCTTTATCTTACTGATTGATCTCACTTGACGTGTTTGTGTCTGTGTGTGTTTGGCTTCCCTGTCTCTCCCCATCTGTAGGACCATTAGTCAGACCTGTGGCCGAGCTCCCCTCCACCATGCCGGGCTGAGAACAGACTCAGGAGTGACTGTCCCGGTCTGTTGTTCCCTGATGAGACCAGACAGCGGCCCGTAGGCTGTCAACACATTCCTGCACGGGCTCTTTTTAAATTGCGAAACCTGGATTTATTCCATCTGCGCTTCGCATATGAAGCGATGAAGTGTTTCTGTGCGTGTAAATGAGCCAGCATGCGAGCTAGGCCTAAATATCCATTTCAGCGGAGTCTCCGGAGAGGCCGTTTTTGTCTCTCGACATTGTGCAATCACCGTGTTAACGCTGATAAGGAAATGTTTAGCCAATTTACCCAGACTGTTGAAATGATTTGGAATCCCAAGCAGGCCACTGGGACATATCGAATGCTCGGTGGAAAGCTGGATTGTTTGTACAGTGGCTGAGCGAGCTGCGATACTTAGAAGCACTCAGTCGCGCTCAGCCCTGTGTGAATGAACCGGGTGGCCCTCTGCTTTGATGTACTGCGAGCGTGCGAGAGTCAGAGACGGTGGGGATGGAGGCTGTACATGATTCCGTACATGTGTACTTGTAGCGGTGCAGTTAAAAAAAAAAAAAGAAAATTCTTTCTTTTGCTCACACTTGCGAATGGTGCATGTGTTTGCTCAGAGAGGCCTCACCGTGGCCTCTGTAGCTCGACATTGATCTCTCTCTTTCTGTCTCTCTCATACTGATGAACACAATCTGTCTTTTTAGATCCATGAGCAGCTGCAATTCTACGAAGAGAGAAAACCAGTCCCCGTCCTGGACAGCGCTGCAGCTTTGGCCCATGAAGTAAGTTCTTGTTTTTTTCTTTCTTGGAAGGAGGAAGGCTTTCGTTTATTTGGTTGCACATAGGAACTGCTGGGTCTGATAAGTGCAGTTAATGGAGAAGTGCCATGAACTTCTGAAATTCTCTACTATTGTCCAGTCTGAGAGGTGTATATATTTTGGCTTTTGAACTTTAACCCTTAAACAGTGTGTTTTCACTTCAGGAAAGTTTCCAATGGCAACCTGACTAACCCCATAGTTGACCCTTTACTTGGTCCAATGTTCATACTCCTCTATCCACTTGCGGCTCGTGTCCCCCATGGAGGACGCCACGCATTTGTCCTTTACCTCTGCTTTTTTCTTTATGGTGTTTTTCCATTTAATTTGTCTTCTTCATACTCGCACATTATGTCTTTCCTGTCCTGCATGTCCTTTCTTACCGTTTGTGTTTGAAAACCAACCAAATGTCATTTGCCTATACCCAAATCCAGAGAAACTCTGAGTCAGAAGGCAGTTTGTCTGCAGTTGTGCAGATTGGAATTTAGATGTGTTCATCTTTCCGGGTTGTGAGCGGGATGCCTTGGAGTTCTCCTCCAAGTCGCCGACGAGTGAACCAAGACCTGTCATCTTCTAGACTGACTGTTAGCGGAGGACTGCCCCCCCCTGCACCCGTCCTGCAGCCAACTCATTAATGCCCCACAGAAATACAAAATTTGCCCCAGCGAGGAGAGATCGATTTATTTTCCGAAGGCAGGAACGGACTGGGGTGGCCGAAGATGGATTAGCAGCACGCGTGACAGACGCAGACAGGCTACGGATGATTGTGGAGTTGCATCATATAAACACAAGTCAGGGGAAGAGCGAGCTCATACGACATTCCCATCCAGAGACTGCGATCATTACTCATGCCATGCGGTCCCTCTTCATCATTTAACCTGTTAATGAGAAGTCATCACAGAAGCAGTAATTTCACCACCAGCTCTGCCTGATGAGGCCGTTATGTTGGCCCCGATGCTCTTAGTCAGTCTGTGAAGGATATTTAGTCTGATTGATCGGGTAAACGACCACCATCCCGGCATTTGTTACGGTGTTGTTCGTCTGCAATATTTATCGAAAAACCCACATGTGCACATAAGCGTGCAAGTGCCGCGCCCACGCACACACACCTGTGTAAACCCAAGAACCAGCCTGGCACGGGGAATACAGCGAAGGAGAAGCCTACTTACTGGTGTCCGGGTTTGTTTGAAATCCCCAGCTCTGTTTATTGTAATCAAAGTGCCTCCGATTATTCCACCCCTTCAAAAGAGGCCGCGGCCATACATCATGCTAATTACTACCGAGGCAAGGGGGAAAAAGAGGCTGACGTTTGTACAGTTTGTCGGAAAGACCGAGGCAGGGGGAGTCCAGAGTGTCTTGAGGCCGGAGCGGAATAGAGCCGCCGCACTGTGGGCCGGAGTGGTTATCCCTAAATGTCCCTGAAAGGCCACAAGGGTCGTCGGAGGAGCCAGGACACCCCATCTTTTAAGGCTCCCACTAACCTAAACCAGGATGAGCTACCTTGAATCTTTTGCCACCAGAAATACGCCAGAAATAGAGATTTTAGTCCCGCTTTTCAACATCAGAAGAAGAATTCCTCTAGATTCCATCAAAGTTTGAAGGTCCTTTCTTTTTCCCTTTTCTTCGTCTCCCAGGTTGTGGCTCGAAGCCACTGGCTGCTCAAGAGAACCCCCCTTTCCTGACCCCAAATATTAGCTTCTGTCTTCCCAGATCGGCCCTTCTTTTTTTGTGAAATTACAGACCCTCATACTCATGCTTCCTGGTGAATGACCCCGGAAAGCGTCTCCTCGGGATTATCGTGTATCGGAATAAATCCCAGAGATGGTATATCAGAGCGTCTGGCGGCACACCGCAATCCCGAGTCCCCCTTTCCTCGTCTGGTTGACGAAGAGAAGTGTGTTTTTAAAGCGGATTGTTTTTCACCCATGTCCCCACTCCAAATGAACGCCATTGAAGTGCTGGCTGGGACCTACGGTGCAACTGGGAGAGATCTACGGTTAGATGAAATTCATTTGGGGCTCGGGTGTCAGGTAATGGAGGCTTAATTTATTGCCTCACATAAAAAAAACACGGTCCCCGTCGGCCCCCAGGCTGCACTGTCTAGCACGCACAGCAGGTGACTGCCAGTGCTCAAACAAACGCCTGGAACACGGTCGATACCGCAGCCCGGGGGCCTAAAGCGGTGTATCGCACACACTCAAAGACGCGTCTTATGGACGTACATGCCTGCTTATTACCGCACACCCCGGTCTCCCTCCTGGTCTCATTAAGGCTGAAACAGGAGCTTTGTCGAGGAATGTGAGACACCACGTTACATTAATCAAAAGAGCCAAATTGGCGTTGCATGGGAACCGTCCCGTCGCTCTAATCAGTCTCCACCTGGGCGGTAAGAGCTTGGTGCCAGCCTCATTGTTACAATCGGCGGTCATCGCTTGACCCCCACATCTCCACTCAAACACTCTCTATCTCTTCTCCTTCTCTGGCCACCATCCAAACCTCTTTATTCTTACCCAAATACTTGCTGTTACCCTGGGAGACCACTGGGTGCCATCAGAGGGCACTGGGCTGCAGGCTTTACCTACGACTGGTAATGAGACAGAGACAGAAAGACGCTGAGAGAGAGGGGGCTACATCAATATCAGCTTTCCTGGTTCCACAGACTTTTGATAGATCCTGCATGTACTGGATGGAATAGCTTTTTGGTTGAGCAATCCCTCATCACGCACTATTTAGTCTCCCTGTAATTGAAGAGGGTCATTGTTATCCTAGACTGGATTTGTATTATGTATACCTTGTGTCTTTTCAACATTATAATGGTGGGCCACCTTGGCCAGGTTTCCCTCGAAACATTTTTTCTCAATGTACTTCCAGGTCATATTAAAGTCAAACTACATAAAGGAAATATCTTAAGGATAAAAATGAAAATTAAGACCAAATCACTTAACGGAAAGATAATAACCTGTAAATGGGCCTTTGACTTTTATAATAAAAAGATTGGTTATCCAAGATTTACACTAATAAAAGCATACACACAAATCGTTGAAACCATTTTCTGTTTCTCGTGGTTTAATTCCGGTTTCTTTTTATCAATCTTTCCACACGTTTATCCTTTGTGTTTATGCTTGAGAAAGCTCAAGCTGTAAATAAGCTCCCGTGCATCTCCCAAACCATGGATGGATATGATAAGTTGAGGAACTGCATTATTATTATAGTTTTGTGGAACTGATATACTTTACATATTCTAAGAATAATCCCTCAATGGATTGAAGTTTGTTGAGAGACACCTTTTCTCTTCCGAAACTAGATTATTTGTATTATTTAAAGCGCGTGAAATCCAGCATTTACACCTTGGCACCTTACCACTTTTATTGAAACTCATGAAAATACAAGAGAAAAACATGTGCACTTGTGTGCTTGACTTTATAAAAATAAAATCAAGATCAAGTATGAGAATGAATTTAAGTTAAACTGCTGAGGTTGTCAACCCACGGGTTATTTATCGGGCGCCCAATGAAACCAGTGACGATGCATTCAATCCTTCATATGAAATGGAAAGATGGGGTCCGGTATTTCTAATTTAAAGGTTAGCATTTTTTATATGTTTTAATAAAAGTGCTTAGACATCAACTTGACATGACGAATATCTGTAGCGGTACATCAAAGCGGCGGTCAGGGTCAACGAAGGGCTGTCCCATCCGTCCTCCACGCTGAGTTATGGAGTTAAGGCGCTTTAATTGCACAATATGAGGGACTGGAAAAATGTACAGTTCTCCATTCGTCTTTGTCTCCCCTCCCTTTGCCAGGTTGACGGCAAGGTGATGGATGGCAGTGTATCGAGAGATGCTCCCCTCTAAAGACCCTAACCCTGGTCGTCCACGCTTCTCCCCTTTCTCACCCTCCCCTGGACCCTCCACACTCTCAGACTCCCTTACTTTGTGTACTCCAGAGAGTGAAGCAATGCGGGGTGGGCCGAGGTTCAGTGAGGGTAACCTTGACCTCCGTGGCTATTCATTAGCGCCCTCTCTCTCCCCCACTCAGTGGGGGGTCCATAAGCTACCCCCGACTCCCACCTGACCAGACCTCTGCTGTTTTATTCCCGCCCCCGGGGAGTTTTCGTATAACAAACTGTAGCTTTTTTTCCAAACCTCTTATTGTTCTTAAACTATTGCTGCTTGTTAATGCAGACGTGCCTGTAGAGTACACCAGACGTTAACTGGTTATCTAGACACACAAATTGCAATTTACTGTAAGACTGTCTGCACAAGGATGATCTCACACACAGACACACCACAGGAGACATGACGCTGCGTGTGTGTGTGAGAGATCGCCTTAAGCTCTCCCTTCACACCCTGGCCCTTGAGCTTTCTGTGCAGCAGACAGACGGCTCCCGATCCGCAGTCCTCCGGCACAAGCAAGTCTTTGTGTGCGGCAGGCTCGCCTCTCCTCTCCACACTCGGACCACGTCCAGGAGGATCACACATAAATCAGAGCGCGTGGCCCGGGGCTTTTGGGAGCTCCGAGTGGGATTCATCATGGATGCCGTCCCGCCGCTCGTAAACTCTCTCAAAGCTCCCATTGTCTCTGATAAACTGTCCCACCGAGCTGTAAATTAACTCAAGAGCTACAAACTACGAACGAAGCGCGAACTCTTGGCCTCCATAACAAGCTTCAACCTTCCATTAAGATGCATCTAATTTAGGACAATATTGTCTCTATCTGTTGGGCCAGCACCCTTTGAGTTTCGGATATATTCATCGCTGATCTTCACATATAATCACTGTTGAACTCAAGTCAGTAGTTGTTTTATATCCTTCCTTCATATATCCTATTGTGTCTTCACCCCTTTAGCTGTCTGACGAGATGGAGGGGAAATCGGCCAACAGGGAAATCAAAGAGCTTCTCCAACTACTGGGCAGACCCCACGTGAAGGTGAGTTTTCCACCTGTTCATTTATAACCACATTAAGCGAATCAGTCAGCGTAAATTAAAGTACATTTGTTCAAAAAAAAACTTCTATCCTCTCTGATGTCCTCACCCAAAAACAAATGTCACTCGCAGCATTAAAGTGATGTGATCATCAATAACGGCCCTTCGATCCGGGCTTTGTCTCGTCTTCTTTGGCAACATTTCAACATTTGGGTTTTCGGTCATGATTGATCTCGCGAATGAAAACTATACAGTTCCATGCATTGTACGGAGACTGACCTGAAGATCCGCGCATGCCATCCCACATAGAGACATGATGGAGGATACGCACACACCCATTGCAGCCACTGTCCCAAAGACCAGTGGTCCTGATCCATTACTCACTTTGTGCTGACAAATGATTGCTGCGAGAGGATGCCTGTGTGAATAATCTGAGCGATTTTATTACTTTAACTTTGCTTACGACGAAGATATTTGGCGTGGCGAGAAAAGGTAATCAATCTTAACATGAGGAAAAGGCAGCAAACAGGACTGTGGGCCAGGTGTACTGATATCATATCAATCCAAACCCTAAGCGGGAAATTTCTCCCCAGAATGTTCTCTAAAAGGAAAGTGTGCATCTACCTAATGCTTATTATAGTTTATAGCGAACCGATACTGCTAGCTCACATTGCACCACTGAGCTCTTACGTCACGGTTGGCGGGCTTAGGTCAATAGAAAGTCTCTAGACCATGATCTCTGGAAAGAATTATTGCTGTTGATTTTTTACAAATGTATTATTTTGGCACTTTGAGTAGAAGTTGACTGCCATGTAGTTCTATTATATAAAGATATTGCAGGCATAGCTAATATCAAATTAATGAGATGGATTCTAATGTATTCAGATGATTCAAATAATTCTGTTATGGACTTAAGAGTGGCTAGTTAGACTTTGATAAAAACGTCTGATGCGGCTCTACTTTTTGTCCTCTGGCTGAACAAAAGCAAAAGAAAAGTGGCACAGCAAAAGAGTCAACCTCAAAGCCTTTACCCCCCCCCCCCCCACCCCCTGTTTTTCTGACATGTGTGTCTCAGGCTTGTGTCTGCAGCATGTGTGCTTCAAGTAAGGCACTCAAGTATTGAAAATCTCTTTCCGCCTCTATCTGCCCTGCGGGGCACTTGATACCATACCGGAAACCTCCCCCCCGGTGTAAATCCCAGCGTCGCGGGTGTAAAACACAAGAAGATGGCGGCTGCCTGTGAAGGGCTCGTGCGATATATATCACTCTTAATTATGGCAGAAATGATCCATTCAAACTCTCTTTCTCCTCTTCATCGCCTTTCTCTTTCTATTGACGATGTGCACATGAAAAAACAACATATTGACAGTGATGAAAAGATCAATTACGATGGCTGGCCATTTCATTTTTAATGAGAGGTTGTTGCCAGGAATATACAGGCCAGTTTATTTACTCAAGCACTGTGATCGGTTTTTCTAGGATCCCTATTATGCCTAATGAACACAAACACACAAAACCAAGAGGAGGTACTGGACGTCTGGAAAACAAGGGTGGCTTTACTTCCTCCTTCATCTTTCTTTTCATAACCCCCCAAGCGACAGTGCCTATACGTGGATACAACACAGATTTGATTAGGCAGCGGATCTGCCAGGTGACGCTGATACCCACCGACTCGTTTCAGCACAGGAAGAGAGCTCTCCACACAGGGACCCGTGTGAAACACTGGTACCTGCGTAGCCGCACTCACATGTCAACGGTCAGCAGCCAGGGCCTTCTGACCATGTGCTATCTATTAGCATACAGCTGTTATTGCTTCTTCCAAGAGAGTTTTTACAAGGAATTAGCGGTGGCTCTGTTACGGGTTGTTAGGCACGGCCGTGGGGGAGATTGTGGCGGCGCGGTGCAATGCCAGATTCAAGGAAGTACTACCAATGAGAGGACTGGCGGGTCGGAATGTTTGGCCTGATGGATGGAGGTCAGAGGAAATGGCAACTGGCTGTTAGTGGAGGAAAGGTGGAGGTGAGCAGGAGGAAATATATTGGGTTTCTCTTCACCTTGTGTTTTTTGCAGTTTTGGGATGTTTGTTCACAACCAAGTTAAAATAAAAATGTTGTTTGTGTATTCCGTAATTAAGTCTATGAATCAATATACTCAATACTTTGAACAATATACAATATACTTTGAAGGATGAGAAAAGTACATTAAATGAATGTCAGTGGCTTGAGTGACAAAGTGCAGCACTGGAAATTATACATTTCTCATGTGGAAGAAAAATAGAGAAAGGAATGTAAAGAAAAGGGAAAAGAGCATTGTCTTGTGTTATTGCATTCAGCCCTGCACAAAGTGCTGCTTCCATCATCCCTAGATGGAGTTGTCATGTAGATACAAGCGTGGGCAAAATGTTATTGCTGCTCTGTACATGTTGTGGTCCCACAAAACTCGTTAAAGAGTTGCTTTCTCTGTATCCAGTTGCGGTTGCAAACAACCAAAAAAAGGAGACACTAAGGAAATTTCTTCTACAGGAGAATGTCAACATTGACATTCTTTTGCAACACAATTTCACGGCAATTATGGGACATTTCAGATTTTCTTCCCCAAATTTTAGCATTTATATTTAATTGCGGAAGATGTTTGCTTTGTGTTTAATGTGAACACGCCCACCATACACAACATCTATGATCTCATCACTACAATGCGGATACTCCCAACGGCTAACTCTCCATGTGTGCCTTGAGAACGCTGTGTATAGTGTGTTATATATCAATCACAGGTTAGGGATCTCCTTCAGTTTGCTCTCTTTTTATTGTTATCATCTGCAAACATTTTGGGTTTCCGGCCAAGAGAATATTTCAACGGTATAATGACAGCATCCTGAGACAACACAGAACGTGTTTATGTCGGGTGCAGATGAAAGCCAGGAACGCACTGTCAGGCATCTTCAGAGAAATGATACTGATGCCTGGAACATTTTGGGGAAAATAAAAAAATAAAAACGTGAAAGATAAAGGTAAAGAAGAAGATGGGGCAATAGCAAAAAAGAAGATGGGCGTAGCGGCAATAGTCAAAAGAAGGGTTAGCAAAAGAAGAGCTCCGTGTAATGAACGGTCCTCACGAGTCTCCACTGCGAAGCGTGTGTGTGGGTAACATGAGCGCTGTACTCATAAACCCCCCTCCCCGCCCCTGTTGTCTGGCAGATGGGTTGGAAGATGTTTTTCTCAGTTTTCTCTTGCTCCTCTCCTCAACCACGGAAAAAGCAGCACGCGTCCAGCTGCGTCTCGATGCCGACACCAAGTTGTTAAATAGTTTGAGATAAGAGGGTCTCAATGGCTTCTTTCTCGTCTGCTCGACGTCTTTTTATTTTTTTTACGTGTCCTCGTGAACGTGTGAGAAATCTGAGTCCACTGAGAACTTAATTACTTTGAGGCTGCCGCCGTACCGTGCAGAACATCGCTTCTACCACTTTCCACCACCTAGTCCCGGAAAGCATCTGCACTGAAATGTGGTCGGTTGGGTTACCTCCTCTGACACACATGCACTTTCAATCTCAAGGCTCCCTGGTTGCCTTTTAATCAGAGAGATGTATGGATGCATGGTATCGGCCTAATGACAATCAACATCTGTAACCAGAAGCTCTGGCTGTAAACGCGTTGAAACTTTGACGGTGGCACTTTGAGGGCGACTCCCCAATTAATTTCCATCCTGCAGCCTCTCCATGTTCTCTGTCCTGTCTAGACACTACCCATCGATTTGAACCCTTAATAGCATGTGTTGCTTCAACTTTATTTGGCTAATTAGACCACGGTGAAGCAGAGTGCTTTTCTGGTTTGACTAATGACCCTGGTTTCTTTGCCTCCCATCCGTCCATCTGTCCCTCCCGCCCCTCCAGAGCCTCCTGTTGGTCCATGACACCATCGCCCAGAAGAGTTACGACCCCGAACTGCCTCCGCTGCCCGATGACATTGACGACAACGAGGATTCTGTGAAGATCATAAGACTGGTCAAAAACAAGGAACCTCTCGTGAGTTGATTGAGGAATGATGTACTTGGATTCACACATGGCAAGCGCCGCCCAGGAGTTTCGAAGACGGTTATTGGGAAGCTAAGATTATTATTTATTATTATTTAGTGCCATGGATGTTAAAAGCCCGTAAACAGCAACATTTCAGGGACTTTTTGGTTGTGTGTTCCCCAATGAATGCCAACATGATCGCATCATCAGTTTTTTTTGTGTGTATATTCAACATCTCAACACTGGGGAAATCCTGCTATCAAAGCTTTGTTCACTAATCCCCAACTTTCCAAATGCCCAAAGCAGCAATCACGCCACAAGTCAAGCCAATAGTGTACATGTTTTTTCAAGACACTTGTCTATGGGAATGCAACCCACAACCTTGAAGTTGTAAGAGCACCAAAACGGACGACAATTACCAAGCTCCTGGCCGCGGATATTTTCAGCCTGTCTAGGCTCGCTGTCTGTGAACAACTTCCCTTTTTCTATCCTGGTCAGTGTCACTCTCTCTCATTGAAACACGCTTCTACAGACGGCAACAACAACCCGTGTGTTTCGGCCCCTTCTGCGGCCCACCCCCGGCCCCCTTACCCTGTGTGTCGCCGCCGCATTTCCATGCGGCCCATTTTGAGAATGGGCTTTTGTAACCTCACAGAACCCAATTGGCACTAGTTCTCTACGCCTTTATTTTGTTCTGTTTTGCCACGTGACTTTTTTTCACTGTCACGATTCCCTCGACTGACCTCAGCGCCGTGCTTGAGATTAACACTCCGGCAGCCCGTCGAAGACCCCAATTTGTCATCGTAGCCCGTTCGCTGCGTGCTGAGGCCCTGCCCTGTTTGATCCGGAGGCCCCCTCGGCCACTTCTATTTTTTCACTTGTGGTTTTTAGCCCTAACCGCCATCTTGGCTCCAGGTCGGCAAGCCTACCCTCACCACAACCTCTGAGAGGAAGAAGAACACACCTAATCCATTTTAGGGCTCCCCTCTGTTGCATGTTCCGCGGGGCTGCAGAGCGTAATAATGTGGCTCTTAGGAATTCTCTGTCGCGGGCACTTCCTGATGCAGCCTCTCCCTGAGTCTGATGTCAAATCACATTCCCCAAAACCATAATGTGATTTACACCCATACCCGGTCAGCTGCACCATCTAGCTGCTGTTATTGTTATATAGAATCTTTGTCTCAGTGATTTGGCGCCTGAAATCAACATTTACGACGTGTGATACTCTTACTCTACAATATTGAAGGTGTTAATTATGTAATGCAATGGCTCATTCCTAGTTTCTACAATAATGCTGCACACTTGCGTATTTTAGGGGTCAGCACTAGGTCAGTTTTCTAAATACAACCCTCATTTAAAAGATGTTTCGTATTGGACAACACGTTCTATTTATGAATGGAACAGATACACTTTCCATTGCAAATGATTAACAGAAAAACAGGAATGTAGTTATGCCACAGACCCAACGTTTCTCCCATTTATGTCTTCGTTGTCTGCTGTCGCTGCCCGAAGGACCCACAGCGGTCCACTACTGCTGCCCACAATCTCCTGTGGCCATAATTACGTCAACGGTACGATTCTTTCGCAGGGCATAGTTTTTCTGTGCCTTTCTCTACTCAGCCTGTTTGCATCCACACACCTTTAGGTCAAGACTCTTCACTCTTGACCTCTGGAGTATTAATGTGCCCCGAGACAGCAAGCCAGACATGCCTGCGTCCAATGGTTCCTGTGGGAAAGGAGAATATTGTCGTAGTGGCGTACAGCTCCCGCTATATACCGCTGTGTAGCAAAAGGGCTTTTCACACCTTTTCTTCACCTTTCACTCTTTATCTGAAAAAGTGGGACTGTCAACTTAGAGAGGAATATAGTTTTATCAACATTTGAATTTAATCAATACACGACTAACAAATCAAATGAATGCAGTACGATTCTAAAACTCTTTGACAATATTTATTGTCACATAACGACTGAACTGAAGAACTGAACATATATGTGTGACTGCAAATGTAGATAATGTTCTCTAAATTAACTAAACAAAAGTAGGGCTCCTTCATATTTGGACTCGACAGTCTCAACAAATTATAAATAAACCTAGTTTATTCATTGAAGAGTTTAACAGAATATATATCCACCAAGAATTGAGAATCCTGCATCAGGGCCGTTCTGCTCCTCACGTGGAAGAGCTCATTGTGCCTCATGATTCAACGGGTTCGAAGAATATGAGACACTGGTTTAGTGCTGCAGTGGGCACGAGTCTGGCCATTCTGGATTAAATGCTGTACTTCCGCTGTCCACTTTTCTCTTTTTGGAGAGCGCCATTTTTCTCACCTATCCCTTTCTCTCACTTTCTCCATCTCACGTCTTTTTATTTTTAATTTGCCGCTCTCGTCTGTCTTCAGTATTGAGACGATATCATCCTGCTTGGAATGCAAAGACTTCATTGGTCGAGAAGTATCACGTGGGACGGTTTAACTCGAATGCAATTGGTGTGTGCTTTAAGCTACTACTGTAAAGACGACCAAAGCTGCGCAGGTCGAAAAGTGCGCTGTCACTTGTAAATCACAACAGTCTTTTTTTAGCTTTTGGTCCGGGTCCGGCTGACCCTTTAACTAAGAAGAATATTTAGAGGTCCTCCATCTACCTTTGACCCCTCTTACAGCTGTCATTCTGTACATCTTTAGCAGGGAAACCGCCCCTAATGAATGGTTAGATCGTACGCCGAGGGAACGGCTGGTTACAGCCATTCCATCAACCAATAAAAAAGCCTAATTGTGCAGGGGTCCTCGCTTACTGCCGCACCAAATTGATTTCAATGTGCCATCGCAACTCGCAATTTCACATCAAAATCTCAAACCTGACATCACCATAATGTGGCCATGCAATACCTATTTCCTTTGCATCCCTCCTTTCTTAACTCTTATTTTCTCCCCCTTTTTTTTTTTTGGTTTGTTTCTCTGCCGGCCTTTGTCTCCACCTATACGGCTGTGGTTATTGTGGGGACCAGGCTGTAGCTAGTCCTGTACTTATTAGAGATTAGTTCAGTGGAGTGTACCCTGTAGCTCTGATGCTTTCATTCTACTCACTTCATGCCACATTTGGGTAAAAAAATGAGTACTAAAATTGATTAGCCCTGGTGTTGGGACAATCAAATAATTGGGGAGAGTCATACACAGTAACATCACTTCAGCCGTGTTCTTTTTTTTACTGAAAGAATGTGCTATTTTGCATCAGGTTTAAGAGGTGTTTTGGCCGGTTGGGTCGGAGCTGAGCATTTGACGCTGGTAGCTAATCTTCCGGTGAGGTTTTGCCTCCAGTAATAAATTGTTTTGAATACAGACTGGCTAAAAAGAAAACTCTGGACATAACGCTGTGTTGTGTAGTTGTGTAGCCCGAAACACAACAACAGATCAAGAAGGTTTGGGTAGAGGCCTAAAATGTGAGCTACTTTGAAAAGTTAATTCAGGACTCATTTCCTTTGTACTGGTGTAGTGATGTCCCTCTTTTCTTGCCATCATCATTGCATGAATTATTGGCTAAATAAGAGTACCCAAAGAACTGCATGCACTGCATGGCAAAATAAGAATTTCACTGCCACGGGAGGGCGAACTGACGCTGACCACCGGCGTGATGTGAGAACATCATGGACCGATGAGCCTGCCGGGGTCTGGCTTTGCTCGCCTCACCTGGATGTTCTGGGAGTCCAGATGCAAATAGCAGACTTGGGAGACGCTGTTTTCGCCGGCGCTTGAAATACCACATGACGGGTGGCTCTTTGCCACTCTGCCATAACAGCTGGATCATCTGGACACCCACAAATAGCACCATTGCAATTCCTGTACACACAAATGTAGACGACATTGTGGATATTATCGTAGTAAAGGCTCCAAGCGCTCCATTGATGCCTGGCAGATTTTATTTACTTAATAAGGGAGTGGATAATTACGGAAAGACAGGACTTTTTTTTTTTCCCCAGACATTTGCAGGAATGAGCTACTGGCAACTAGCCATGCCATGCTTTTCTCATCTGGCACAATTGGGCCGCTCGGATCGCAGGCACTCTGATACCCTTCCCCTGGAGGCCTTTTGCGAAGCACATTCATCCGGATAATCTGAATGCCGTCGGCACTATTAGGTATTTAATTTGCGGCGGTTTGAATGTATACAATAGCAGGTTTACACTGAGAGTGTAGCTCAGCTTTGCAGCGGCACTGAAACCCGGGTGAGGTGCTGCTGATTGAGACAGTTCTCAAACAGCGGGACTAGATCGATGCGTTTTCTTTCCAAAAGTGACTTTTCTACTGTCTGTTTACATCAGCAAGTGGAAAGCGAGGGAAAAGTAATGACTCTCGCGAGGAATTAATGGAGCAGCAAATGAGATTAGAGCCGACACCACACATGGTAGTGTTTTACAGATCGACCCGTGTGCTTTAAAAGCAATACGTCTTTCACTTGATGGATTAGGCCGCAGCGTCCTGGGAGCGTCGCGAAGGAAGATGGAGCACCAATGCTCTAAACCATGAGGACAAGTGCAGAGCACTGCTAGTGTTTGCTGTGTTATGTGTGTCTGTGCCCTAGGTGTAGCTGCCTACAATAATCATTGCTTGTATAATAAGTGTAATAATTTTTGATGTGTGCGGTTGAGTATGCACATAAATGCAATTTGAATACAGGTCACATTTCATTATGTTAAATTGGGAAATTACTTCAGGTTAATCTCATTAGAATAGTTAAACTCTGTATGTCCCATAGTGAAAATCTGTCATATTTTAAAGGATATGTTTAAAAAATATATAACTATTATGATATAAGACCCTGAGTACTACTAATGTAAAGCCCCAGGCAGGATTCATATTCACTTTAAAATAATCAGCCGTGCTGCAAATTTCACGTTAACGCCATAGTGACACACGTTTAAAAATGTTCTTATTATTCTTTGACATTTTTTTAATTCAGTTTCAAAATCTGGGGCAGGGACTAGAGGGACTCCGACATGGTCTGCACCCCTGAGA